CAGATGAGACTTTGGCCCATAATGGACTCAGAGGTTACCTGCAGATTGGACCACTGGATTCTCCCAATGCACCTAGGCGCGTTCCTCCAGGCTTGTTTGGCAGCAAAGATCAGTTCATCCTTTGTCAGATGGTAGGTTCCTGTTGTTTCTATCTCCTTCGCCACTGTTTCCAGTCGGTCCAGGTGTTCTTCTATTTTTGGCCTTTTGAGCAGGAAACAGCCGTGGAAAGAAACAATCAGAATTTCATTACTTAGAACTGATTTAAACTGCAGACATTCTTCTTATGTTGTGGGTGAAGAAGAGCACAGGCATTGCTGAAGCCATAAAGCTTTTGAACATCCTTTTGCACGAGAAGACTTCTACTTATATCGCTGATTTTACCTGCCAGGATGCAGGTAGATTTCCAGGGAGGGGATTAGCATCTATGTAGGTTGAGATATGGCAAGTTTGGATAAACACTGAGAAACCCGTCCCTTTTATAAATCTACACTCTCTGGATATGAAACAGGTCAACGTAAAATACTCTATGAAAACATCCATCACCTCGTGAAATCAGCAATTTCACTGTGCTTCGGCTGTGAGAAGTCACCACCATCTACTCCCCACCTCCCCTCTACTGCACCACACTTTTGTCCCCAAAGCACCGCTGTTATCTGTTGCAGCAGTCTAGGGTCCGAGATCTTTACCAAAAAGCAGGGGGTATTCTAGGTAAAGGGATGAGTTAAGTACATTTGACTCTGACTGAGGACTGCTGAGTAGAATTTTTCCTGGCTTCAGAATTTAGGAACTGCCCATACTGAGAGCAACAGATGGAGATTGCTAGCCTTATGAAGAAACTAACACACCACAAATGTAAGTAGCTATCCTTTCACCACCCATCACATACATGGATTGATCATGAGCTTTTCTGTGTAAGTTTTCAGTTTAAAGTTGGATTTTCTAGATCAGTTTGGAAAAAACTGCCAAATCACAAGCAAATGAGAAATAGGGAACAGGCCAGCTTCAGCCCAAAAGTAGGATTATAGTGACTGCCCTCTCAAAGTTCTATTATTTTCACAGGGACACATCTCTTCTGAGCAAAGTAAGTAGGATTTTCATTCCTAAAAGGAAGCTCTAAGCAATTCCCTTGTCAGGGAAACCAACTCTAAAATTCTTTAGTTTGATAACAGAGAATGAAGTCAAAACATTAGGAAATATTTATCACAGCACAGACAAAAATTGTTTTGTTGGCTGACAGACAGAATGAAAATAGCCTGCACTGTCTGAGAGTTTTCACATTTTCAGCAAGATGAAAGATCAAGGGCAAACATGTAAGATAGTGTAAATCAATGTGATCAAATAGCCATGAGCAGAAACACAGAGATGTGCAAATGTAATATGCTGGCAACTGAGTACAGCCGGTGTGTAGGACAGGGACATTCAGAAAGATTTAGATGGAAGAAAGCTTTGTAGAAGAGTTCAAAGTGTCTAAAGAAGTAGCCATTATGTGGCTGAGTCCCTTTGAAAGTCTGATAATGTTTTATAATGGGATGAGCAAACATTGAATTGTCACTTGAAAGCCTGTCATGTGAAAACTTTGTCACTGCAAACTCTTGGACCTCAACCAGATGTTCCAGCTTTTACTGCAACAAGATAGCTCTGCACCATGTCCATTTTTGCGAAAACACAAACCTCTTTTCTGAAGCTAAAGCATCCCTCTCAGCATGCTCAGTAAGCTTATGTTGATGATAGCACAGAGTAAGGTTGAGAAGCAAGAGACTGGCCTTCCAATCTTTGGCTAAAGCCTTGAGAGTTAAAACAGAGAACAAAAGAGCACAGAGAAAAGATACTTGCAACAGCACAAGCAAAAAGCGTTATCTACATTATTCATGTCTAAGGCTGATTTGAAGAAGAGCTAATCCCATTAACATCCAATGTTGAGAAAACAAGGTATCATTCCGTAAGAGAATCCCAACCAAGCTGCTTATTATAAATGTTCTATAACATAACACACTCAGAAGGGATGGGGCTGAGGAATGCACTGTACAGACTTAATTTCTGTATTCCCAAGACGTAGGATTGGCCGATATACCATATAGAGTGCAGTAATAGTTTTATTTACCTTTTCTAATAGTCTATTTTTTGAATGCATGCTATGCCATTACATAGGATAGTTACCGATAGCTGTGAAGAAACCCAACATTCCTATAGTCTCACAGACAAGGAGGTAGGTAGAGGACTTCTATACCAAAAATGAAGGTGAAGTTGGCTTACTCTTTAAATGAATTGTAGTACTGCTTGATAAAGTCTATTGCCTGAGGTAAAAGCTCTGCTGGTGGAACTGGCCCATCTCTAGTACCTCTCACCAGGCCCTTTGGGGTCATGAGTGCCCCTTGGCAGGCCTTGGTCCGGCAGTTGATAACCTGAGAAACAATAAAATGTCAAAAACCAAAGTTGCGCTCTGTATCTTTTCAAAGTTATGAAAAATCACTGTTCAGGTTTCCATATCTTACCTCCTTTGCTGTCAGGTGCAGTGTGTCGAGGAAGCTGGATCCATTTTCCATGTTTCTTACTTTTACATGTCTTGGACATCTTGATATTTGGTTTGAAGCTTTGATACCATTTTGGGGCGGGTTCTGGACAAAGAAAAGATAAAAATACATATACATACTGTCTTCAGACCTATTAAATATCCTAAACCTTCATTTTCGATGTTATTTGACCATTAAAATGCTACAAATTCAATTCAAGAAACTAGGTATAAATGTGATCTTCTCTGACGTGTGTGTTTATTCCTTTGAGTACAAAACTATGGACCTAATCCACAGTTTGATAAGAAATGGGCAAAAAAAGAAGTATTCTTATAATAACCGAACAATATCTGCCACTGCAAACACCTTTTCAATTTCAAGAAGGCCTCAATATAATAGTCACACTCTCAGGAAAACAGTGACCCAGACAATTCTAGAGAGAGGACATGTTTGTTACTAAAGGCTGGGTTTTCAAAGTTGCATAAAGGAATCGGGCACTCCAACCCCACTGGGTCACCTCTTTTCCTTAAGTCTTACCAAAGCCCCTTTTTGTTCAGAAAAGACTTTTCATCTAAAGATCTCACAGCAGTCTTAACCTCACGTAACCACAGTTAGTCCTCACATGAGAAGTCTGAGAAGTTTTGAGCGCTAAGCACAACCCACGTGAACTCTTAGTATCAAACAGCGATGCTAGAAACAGACCTCTCTCCCATCACTGGCCTTTGCTGAAGTTATGATAGGTGGCATCTCCATCCGCTTCTTGCTCAGATCATATAATTTGGCAGCATCATCTCCTAAGCTTTAAAAGAGAAAGACAATTCAGTATAACACAACATGCTTAGTTTCTGTTAGTTTTACCTGCAGCATCAGTAGGGAGGTGCTCAGAACTGTCTCTGAAAGATGAACTGAGTCAATATGTGAGGGGTGGAGTGGACTAGAAGTCCATAGAAAAGCTACAATCACCCTTCCAAGATCACTGTGTGAGAAGGAAAACAACAGATATGGCCTGGAATGGTAAAGGCTGAGTATCATTGCTGTAAGCTAAACAAAGGACATAAGTACAGTTATGATCTGGCCAGAAAATACTCAGAGGCATTAAAGAGGTTGAAATCTTCAGGAAAATGTGTGAAAACTTCAGCTAAGTCCCATCTCCAGCCCATTAAGCAAACACCATACTTTAATATTAATTTCCTTTGTTTTCCACATTAAGTCTTACTTTCTGAACTTGACTTTTTAATTCGGATACCAGGTTTCAAAGACACCCAGGGGGCATCCAGACCACAAACTCCAAACGAACCCCCTAGTTTGGAGAGGGCAATGGTGTGTTTTAGCTAGCAGAGCAGATGTGATCACCCGCTTCCACTAGTCAGCTTCATGTATCTTCACATTTGTATATCAACTGCTTTGAGGAATGAGAGGAAAGGGCAGGGAATGGGCAGAGAAATGGTATGCAGTAGAAAACTGGAATAAGTAACAGCCTGAAAACTGTGAAATTGAATATGCATGTGCAATTTATTTTATAGTGTCTTGTATAAATTGCATCACAGAAATACTTTACCAACTTAATTACAGCATTAATAATAACTTTGCTAATTTTTATAGCATGCACAGGCCTCCTAAGTCCTAGCTTACATGAAACCATTATAACACACCAAATAAATTGAGAACTATGAAAGAGAAATCAAGATGATTTCTTTCCTCAGTGATCCTGTAACTTAGACACGGAAGCTTTAATGTACCTTATCAAGTCAACACCACCCAGTGACCCCAGGGACAACTGTTCTTTGGTGAATATTATTGCTTTGGAAACACGTTACAGGTTTCTCCAGAACCCACGTCACTTAGTATCTTCCCTTTTCAAATGAAAGAGAAACTATGAAAGCACTAAAAGATTAAGATCTTACCCATGGACCTTCCTATTTTTCTCCACGTTGTTATTGATATCCTTCTCTTCAGAGGACTGGTTCTTATCAGCTTGAGGTTTGAATGCAAACTTCCATGGGCACAACATTTTGTATGCTTTATTTATGATTGTAGTTCACAGTGCTGAAATCTTGTTTTGTGTGATGTGGGAATGCTTCTGAGGAGAAAAAAAAAAAGCAAGGTCAGTTTTTAACTCAGAAGGAAACTCCCTTTAAAATCATGCACAAGCTCACCAGACTAACCGATCTGAGCTAATTAACTTTTTTTTTAAAGAATGAAAATTGCTTGGCTCTTAAAATAGTGATACTAAAACTAACAGTTCTCTTTGTCAGTGTAATGCCTCAGCCATGCCTTACTCTAAAATACTGGCAAGAGAACTTCAAATGTCCCCCAGTTACATAAACCAGCAAACATCAGTGTCTAAGAAAACCATGTACATGCTTTATTTCTATGAAAAACACGCCTTGACACTTTTTAAGTTCTGTGGTTTTCAAAAATAATTTGTTAAGTGTTATTAAATGTTCTATTAATTCACATCACTCTATGTTAGCTAGGAAAAGGGAAGTAAAATGTTGCTGTGTTATTTGCATAGTAATGAAAACAAAAAATTGGTCTGTAAATTAACCAAAATGTTTTGCAATGTATTCATCTGCCAGAGGCAAATGGAGTTCTGAGATTCTGAAGTCTGTATTTGGTAAGATAGGTATATATACACATAGCGCATATTAGAATGTAACGTATAGCATTTATATAAGAACAAAGTTTAATGCTATTTATTTTAACACAAATATTCTGCTTATTTCTGATCCTAAAATGAATTTTTACACTAGGGAAGGAGTGACAGAAGAAAAAGAGCAAAGTAGTAAATTGCTAAGTAAACCAGAATTAGCCTCAGCATTTGAATCTGGTTATAACAGAAATAAAAACCTGATGTTTCCAAAAAATTAAAGATAGAGAAAGAAAATATACATACAATACAATATACGTATTCCTGATGTAAATTATGTATTATTTTGTTATTTGTATTGCTTGTCCAGTAAAGTAAAATTTATACTGCTGAGCTCCCAAGATGCTGTCTGCTGTAATATGAAAAGAAATCCATTCAACTGTGCTGAAACTGTAAGGTGTTAGGACTTCTCTGCTACTCCAAGTAAAAGAAAGTGTGTGATAAGCATCTCTCTATGGTTACAAAATAGGAACAAATCCAAATTACTATTCTGCAATAAAAAATGCTGCAGTGTGAGTATATATATATTTTGTACAACAAGGGAAAAAGAGAGGAGGAGAGAATAGGGAGAGAGAAAGAAGGTTAAGTTAGAGAGAGGGAGAAGAAAAATAAAAAATAAAAACTGAAAAAGAAGAAAAAATAATATGAGGAAAAATAAAAAATAATAAAAAGAAGAAAAGAAAGAAAAAGAAAAAAGAGAGAAGTGAGAAGACTCACATTCTCCATTCACTAGCATTCAGATTAAGAACTTCCTTGCTTTTTGTGTTCTCCACAACAGGGTTCCTTAAATAACATTTACAATATTAGCTGTTACATGCACAAACCTTTAAATCAGCAGAAAGGGGGATGAAGTTTTCAAAGCAGCAGGACAGCTTAGAAATAGAGCAGGAGACTGATGCCAACACTTTGCTCCTAACATGGAAAAAAGAAAACAGTTTGCCATATAATTACTTCACTTGTGAGCTGCAGTAAATGAATGGCAAACTGAACACTTCGACACAGCGCTGCCTTACCGTGCTTTTGTGAGCTTTTTCCAAACTTGCTAGGAGATGGTCTTTGCTGTCAAAGTTTCTTTCCTTTAATCTCTCCTGCTCTGTATCCCTCCTGTGAGGCAAAAGCATTTTATACTCCAGGACCATGCATGCAAAAGAGCAGAGTCAGGCTACACATGGAGAGTGGACAAAAGGGGAATCCCAAAACGTCCTGTGTTTCTCTCGGAACCAGAGGGCGTGTAGCTAATGTGCTGGTGCAGTATTACTTAATGGGTATGACAGGAGGGAGAGCAGTGACTAATTCCTGATGTTATGAGCATTCCCCCCTTCCTGCAGCAGACAGTAACCTTGATTTCTGTATGTGCTTAGTCATTAGTAGGCAACGTTAAAATAAAATTTAAAAAAAAGTCCTGACAGAACTCTTACAGATTTTATCACTGGGTGGCCTTTCTCCTATACATTAAAATAGCAGCTCTAGAAAGAAAATAAGCAGCTTCACAAGAAGTTTTACAGAACCACAGAGCTTTAGGATATGGGCCAGTAAAGCATTTAAACAGGTGATCATAACTACGGACAGGTATTTTAATATAAATATATGACTTCCTTATTTTTGACCAAGTTTTAAATGATCTTTCTCAATAGAGTATTTGTAGAATTTCGTCCTTTCCAGAGCTCCCCGTTCTGTCTGTTGCTGCCTGGGAGGTTTGTCCCTTCGTGCTTTTCCAACGTACCAGGAAAACTGGAAGGAAACTGCAACTCCCTGAAGTACAAACTATTTGCACATTTACGTGTGAATACGAGAAGGACAGCTAGATGATGACAGTGGAATTACTGAGCTTATTTTCAATTTTAGACAGCATGTGGACATTCACATATTGCAAAATCAGGTCTCTACCTGCGGTCTGAAAGCCCCGAGCAATCCCGGAGCCAAGGGTGGCACGCAGTACAAAGCACTGCCAGGCATCCGCAGACTCAGAAATGCTGCGGTATGCCAGCACGCTCTCAAGGATTTTGGCCCGAGTTATTTGTACACCAATATTATGTATGACTATTTTAAGGAAACTGTTTCAAACAGTTTTCAAATTAAAGAATTCTTAAAGCTGCTGACTAACACAAGGTCAAAATCTTTACAATGATGACAGGCGCTGATCAAAGATGTACAGAAATAAGGCGTAAGGCTGCAAGAGAAACAAGGAAACACATTCTCTTTTTGTCTGTCACATTTTTACTGGGCGAGCTCACGCAAGGCATTTTCTTTTTTCTGTGTCTAGTTTCTCTATCTACAAATTAACATTAAGTCCTTGTGTAAAGCACTCCTAGAGGTAAACCGAAGTACGCGTACATGTGCTCATGCATGAATACACCTGTACACATACCATGTACGTATCCCACCCAGGGTTGCTGAAGATTAATGTCTTGAAAAATAGACCTGAGGCTTCTGTAGTTTGAGCATGCATCTGCTTGACTGTCTCAAGCCCCTGCTCCTTTGCATTCACTGCTCACGAATGTTCACACTCTGATTTTTTTTTTTTTTTTACATGATGCCCTTCCTCTCACCAGAATTATCACTTGACATCCCTTTGTTTAAAATATTCCAGACGTCTAATCAGCAGGCAGAAGTAATGTGTGAGCCGTGTGACCCAAAGCCATGCCCCAAATTTCTACCTTGCTTCTGATCCATGACAGCTCTTCCCAAACCATACCGACAGTTGTAATTACTTGACTGGGAATACAACTCTATGTCTCAAGGGTCAAATTGAAGGTGCTTGAACTGAAAGGAAGCTTCAGAGTTCAGAGAACAAGGTTACACTCTCTCACATTTGCTGTTTTGTCAGGGTTTAAGAATCTTATTTGCATCCTTCCCTTTTTTACTAAATCTGACCTCTTTTCTACAGAACATGGGCAATCTTAACATCTAGTACTGTAAAAAAGAACATACCTTGGTAGAAATTTAAGTGAATTCAATTATGTTCAATGGTTTCTAAGCTTTTATTATTCAGCCTCCTTATTTCCCTGTGCTCAGAGACCGCTGAAATCAAGGAAAGGCTATGTCAGGACTGGATATGAAAAATCAGATTTGGAATGACCAGAAGAGAAAGAGCTTTCTTCCATGTGAGAGCTGTTCAAACAACTGGCTGAGGCACAGCCATTCAGGGAACTGCTTAATCACTCCAGTTTTTCAAACAGGACCTGCACTTCGACTCACTAAAATCAATAATAAAACTCCCTCTATACACAACAAGAACACGAGAGCACCATTCATTCCTTAGGTGGAGTCAGATTAACTAAAAAGCCCACTAAGCACTCCTACAAACATTCTACGCTGCTTGCAAAGTTCCTCCCTCAGAAAGCCAACTCCGCACATATTTCCTATTTTTGCACAGCCATTTCTGCTTCTGCCACATCAAAACGCAAGAACTAGTTGCTTTCCTTGTGTTACCTGCGATGAAAGAGGCGCCCTTTCAGAGCAGACTGCTTGACCTATTCAATGGCATTCTGACCACGCTGTCATTCTGAGTTAGATTTTGTTTTGTTTCTGAAAACGCGATGGCCTGTAGCCTCAGCAATAAGCTTTCTGCAATTTAATTCAAATCAAGTCACATTCTTCGGCTGACTGCAATATTCGGCATCAGCTCAAGAAGCTGTATTCTTAAAAATATTTAAAAACAAGCTCCTCTGAGATCAGGACACCCTGAGACTTCAAAGAACTATTACCCCGAGGCAAAGCTGATGATAATGAGGGCTGATTTTTCTAACTTCATGTAACCTTAGAGATGATGCTCTATTGTCCCAACTTTTCATAAATTACTAGTGATTTCTTTTCCTAATGAATCTATTTTCTATTTGAGATGTCTCCATGATGATCTTTCAGAAATCTTGCACACGAGATCACAGATTCAAAATACAACATTGCAGGCACCTATAAACACTTGGCATCTTAGAAGATTTGTTAAGACTTCACAGGCTCCTCCTGTGATAAGGATGAAGTACTCTGTTTGCCTTTACAAACCGATGGCTCTGGTCTTTAATGAGTTTCTTTTCCCTCCTTCCTGCTTTACTCCATTTATTAACTTCACTGGCTGAACAAGAAATTTGGTCTTTAAAGTAGTGGTAACACATAATCATTAAAAAAAGATTGGCAAGGACCTGCGCATGGCACCTGGTGCATCTCCTTACAGCTGATCTTGCTGATGGGGCAACTAAGATACTTTTGAACCACCAGAAAATAATTACAAGTCAGCAGGAGGGGCAGGACTCGCAGCAAAAAAGTTGCCTAGCGAGCCGAGCTGGGATGCCGGAGTCAGATAATCGGTCACCATGGAGGCAGATCACAAAAGACCACAGACTCATGCTTTTCAGTAAAATGCTCACTACCTCTTTCACACGTGGCCACTTTGTGGTACAAATAACTCATCAGGTCCATTAAGAATATTCATTCATTTTCTGTTCCTTTTCTGGGCTGAAGTGCTGTTTCCTCCACTAGATATGAGACTTCATTCACATTTTCTAGCTTGCTATTGCTTAACTGCAGAGGAGACATAATTTCCCTGGCAACACTCTCGTGTGTATTAGACACGTCAAAAGTTATTTTAAGACAAGTATTGTCTCTTTCTTAGTGCTGAGCCACAGGAGAGCCTCTGGACTTTTTCAACTCAGAGGTAAATAAGCAGATAACTAATGACAGTGGTGAGGGTCTGTGGCACAGACTGGGTGCCAGACCACCCTGGGACAGCACCTCCACATCTCAGTTTGCCAGCAACTTTGCACTTCTCGTACAGGCTGGGGGCTGATCTGCTGGGAAGCAGCTCTGCCCAGAGGGACCTGGGAATCCTGGTGGATGCCAAGCTGACCATGAGCCAGCAGGGTGCCCTTGTTGCCAAGAAGGCCAATGGCATCCTGGGGTGCATTCAGAGGAACGTGGGCAGCAGGTCAAGGGAGGTTCTCCTCCACCTCTACTCTGCCCTGGTGAGACCCCAACCTGGAGCTCTGGGTCCAGTTCTGGGCTCCCCAGTTCAAGAAAGATGAGGAACTCCTGGAGAGAGTCCAGAGGAGAGCAACAAGGATGACGGGGGGACTGCAGCATCTCCCCTATGAGGAAAGGCTGAGGGAGCTGGGCTTGTTCAGCCTGGAGAAGAGAAGGCTGAGAGGGGATCTCATCAACACCTACAAATATCTCAAGGGCGGGTGTCACGAGGACGGAGCCAGACTCTTCCCAGTGGTGCCCAGCGCCAAGACAAGGGGCCAGGGGCACAAACTGAATCAGAAGAGGTTCCAGTGAACGGGAGGAAGAACTTATTGACTGTGAGGGTGCCCGAGCCCTGGCCCAGGCGAGCTGTGGAGTCTTGTTCTCTGGAGATATTCAACCCCCGCCTGGACAATGTCCTGTGCAACCTGCTTGCTTTAGCAGGAGGCTTTAGGAGGAGGCTTGGACTAGATGATCTCCCGAGGTCCCTTCCAACCCTTGCCATTCTGTGTGTGATCTGCAAAAAATATATTTAGTTGCCAAATACTTATACTAAACACCAAACGTACCAGAAATGGAAGACAAAGCCTGTGATACATGGGTTGTGGGGAAACCAGGTGTTGCATGGTAAGAGCTTTTTAAAGGTTATATGCAACCCGCTTCTGTCGGTCTTGTTTTTCTGTGCTTGCTAACCTCCCGTGGGTATGTTTCGGAGTCATTGTGCTTAAGCTCTTCTGAGTGGAGTATGGTGAAAATGTTCTGTGCTAAAGGATGGAGATACAGACCATGACAACTGCATACGCACGTCGCACTTGGAGAATTACACAATATAGACTAGAAATTTCCACTTTCTCACCCTCTACTTCTTTAAATGTCTAATGGAGGCATGGAAAATTAAACTGGTAACTTCTGTAAAAATGCAAGACTTCAACTTTATCAGTTTGCTACATTTAATTTAGAAGGTGAAAAAAAAGTAAAAATAATTCTAAGGACATTCCACTCTTAAATACAAGAAAACCTTGGCCCATGGAAGCCATCTCCCAGGCACTGTTGTGTCTTAAAATGAAGATTTACACAATGAAACAACAAAGCTTCTCCCCAGTTCTTCCTGCCTTTATGCTCTAGAACCTCAATAGATTCACGGTTTCTATTGGAAGCTTCTGGTAGTTTCCAACAAAGAAAGATACCATTAATAACAATAACAACTACCATTAAAAAAAAAAAGTGTTCCCAAGCATCTCTTCACATAGGGACATGGTTTAGTGGTGGGATGGCAGGGTTAGGTTAAAGGTTGGACTCTATGATCTCAAAGGTCTTTTCCAACCAAAGTGATTCTATGACTGACTACTGTCAATAATCATCTTTTACACTGGTTTGGTTCTTTGTTTCCCAAATAAAATTTGTTTGGTTTGAATATTCCCTCAAACTTTGCAAAATGGCAAAACTGTTTCTTTGATTCAATGTTTTGATTGCTTACTGTACCTTTAAGGATTTTAATGTATTTACCATTAACTGTAGCCTCTTCTTCACTGGCTCCTTCATTATTTTGAAATGTTCTTTATGAAGTGGGGATAACAACTTTCCATCAAAAGCTAAATAAAAGACTTGGGTCCAGGCACTTTAAAATATGCCAATACAATGGGATCCCAAATCTACTGCCAGGACTTTTTTTAGTTTCTGCAGATTTAAGGTATATCAAAAGCAGCAGTTTAGGGTGAAAATGTTTCATTTGCCATCTCCTGATCTAGGCACTGTAAGATTGCATGTCAAATGATGACAGGGCAGAGTGGAAAATTTCTTTACGTGAACATCTGAGGGTGAAAATGAAAGCTAAGGAGAGTGTTAAATTTATAGTGCTGTGCCAGTAAACCCATCCCTTCCTGTCTGCTAGTTGTAAGAGCTAGGCCAAATTCAGAAATGCAGTAATAACAAAATTCCCTCATCAGCCACCCTCTTCAAAATTCCCATGAGTATGTATTATAAACAAACATTGATGAGGAAGTGAAGGAGGGACAAAGCAATCAGACAGCCAATAATCAGATTTCTTTGTGCCTGGATGCACGTTGTCTCAAGCAGAAGGGACTTCTGAAACATCCTGACTCACTCATGGGATTCCTCAGCCACAGCTGCAGCAGTAAGGGCTAGCTACTAGCAGATTAGAGAAAAAAAAAAAACAAACCAAAAAAACCAAACCAGCAATTGGCAGTTGACTGGGCATAAACCCCCGCATCCTGCGTGTGGCTGGCTGCTGGGCTGCGTGCCCTACGCTCCTTGACATGATTTCATTATATTTAGCCTGCTGGAGATGTCACTGTCTGGATCATAAGGAAAAGCTGGCATGAGGATAGGGAAAATGTATAGAAGTGTTAGTTATCTTTAGTCCTGCAATTCATGCTTGTCACAGCTGAATATAAAGATGACATTAAAATTACCATGTGCAAAAAGATTTTTCGCTTGAGAAATAACAGCGAACTACAGACCTGAAAATGTGCTCTCATTTAGTAAAAGCATGGTCTGAGGAAGAAACTCCAATTTAAGTAACAGAGCACTGGTTGATGTCAGTAGGATCCAGAATTTCTAATCGAGGTGAGACAATACAAGAGATTTAAGTGCCAGTTTTCAAAAAAACAATCCATAAATTTCTGGGCAGAAATGAAGAACAGAATACTGACATATAAAAGTAACTGAAGTTCTGAAAGTTAAGAATACCTTAAACAAAAGGGAACAGAAGCTAAAATTCAGCCTCAGAAATCACGAGGACTATTTGTATATGGTATAACTGCATTCTGCATTTCTGTGCTGTTTTTCATCTGAAGATACTAAAATATTGCGCAAACCTGTACCAAATTCTGGTCTCACAGCACAGTCCCTAACCACAATGTGAAGGCACATACAGCCCACTGCTGTATTATTTCTCAAAGGAATGTGCTAGAAATATCATTAAACCAATGCACTTCCACAGAAACTGCTCCAAAACCTGTGAAGTTGACTAGAGATGGATATAGTTCTGGAGGCTGATTTAGCCATGCTATAAGAACCTGGAGAAGGGTTATAAGTCTCTCTTATCATGGAGGGTGGATCATGTT